GAAGTAAATAACAAAAGAAAGAGTGATTGAAATGGAACAAATGAAGATATATATATAGTTGTAATAATTTTGATTTCCAGATAGATAATCTAAGTCAATGTTTGGTGCTTGCACAAAAATAATACATTATTCCTTGCTAAAGTTTAATTACTTTGCTACATCATTATATATAAACATTAATGTTACATATAAATAATTAAAATGAAATTATTAAAATCCCAGTTTGGGTTGAATCATGAACTCTGGGATGCTGATCCAAGGCAACAAAAATTGCCGTCCTCTTTCTGTTTATCTGTTGACATGCGATCCTTTTGAATAAATGATTGTAAGGAATTAGATCCGAGCTACATCTATTCTATTCAAGAAGCTTGTTACAGGTGCCAACCCCGACAGCTGCAGCCAGATGCCAGGCAGCATGGAGGAAAGGAGTTTGAGGGAAGACATCATCTGCAATGAAGAAAACACCTCCTAACAATGATGACATCTTATGCACAGTGTGAGCCATCCTTAGGTCAGGATTGTTTAATGCTCTTTTTGCAAATGCTACCTGGAATGGATCAATGACAAGGAAAATAATTCTAGTAAGAGAATGCCTTGAGCGATGACATAAGGAGTATTGATTAATTACTACACGATTTCTCATGAAGAGTTTGCAATAGAATTACCTTTTCAAGAGATGCATTGATACTAGGGCCATAATATCGGAACAAATTATATGAACATTGCTTAATTGAGAAATTTTAGAAGGCATGCCATACTGAGAGTTTTTCATTTGTCATGATCTCGTAAGTAAACTTCAAAGGTTGCAGCAATCTCGACATTCTGCCTATTCATAAAATATTTTTGACTCTGTATAACTACGTTGTGGTATTAATACTCCCATCTCATTTAATAAAGAACCAGTTTTTTGTTTTCATTTTATTTTTATGCTTCTATAACAAGAAATCACTTTAGAAGCAGGAATAACAACTATAGAAATCCAACAGAAGAATGATAGTTATTATTACTATAGTGAATCTAAGGCTATTAATGGAAGAATAAAATTAAGGATTCCATGAACTCCAGAGACAAAAACCAGCTAGTTACCTCCATCAGTCCAGTGTGAACTGCTGAAACCATTAGAGGCTGGACGGGAAGTAGTAAAGCAGATGCTGCCATGAGCAACTTTGGGTTCTCATTTCTTAGGGCCCTCGAGAGACACTGCAGAAAGAATGTTAAAGTTAGGGAGAACTTCTAAGATGCTAGAAGCTAAATGTATACCAGACATTAATTATTTTCAATGGAGAGAGGCAAAATTAATAAAACATATAAGTATGTCATCATAGTTTACTACTGCTATAGTATCATAAAAAACCTTTTCCTTAGTTTCAACAACTGATAATTCACAGTAATCTAAAATATGTCCAAATTTATGCAGATTGATAGGTGTTCTTCAGAGATATTTTTAAAATATATTAATTAATTCAAACTTACTACTGTTGCTGTGGCTATCATTGTATAATCAGCCCATCTTAAATATTTCCTCAGCTTTCCTCTAGAAGAATGATACAAACTTGAGGTAACTCCGACTCCAATAAGCGAATTAGCGTAGAGTTTAGTATTCAAATTCTTTCTGTATCAAGGCAACAGAATTATTAAGAACTAATGGCAATGCTTTGTTATCTTGAATATCAAGGAAACTGAAGAGATTATTACCTTGGAGCATGGATTCCAAGAGCAATAAAGGGAAGTGATGTTAGAACATTAGCAGCCATCTCCATAGGAGTCTGATCTCCTAACAAACAGTTTAGATGCAGAAGCAGAGATAAGTATCCTTCTTATGACAGACTGAAGTATACAACATACAACGTGCATTCATAAGGAAGCCCAAGAGGAAATGCCCATGAGGGATTTTTCTTTCTTCTACCTTGAACACAAGAATGGACAGGTCTCAAACATGGTGGTCTCTGCTGCCATATTCGTCTAGAAAGAAGTTAGAAAATGTAAGCAATGAACCACAGTGGGTTAAGTTTTGCTCTAGATTGTAAACAAGCTTCAAAGTCAAAGCAGAGGTCATAATGGACAACTACATTTCCACAAGCACAATTTGATGGATAAAGTTTTATTTTTCACTTACTGCATTAGTAGATTTGCTCCAATGACTGTACGTTCATGAGTAGATTGCAAGTCCCCATGTTCATCAATCTCCTCCAAGGCAAAAGGTGCATGAGGCACAACATGTATGCCATGTAAACCCTCTAAGGCTTGACCAGGTTGCATTGCAGTCTGGGGACACATAATCTATTCAAAGTAAGCGAAACAGTCCTATTGCCAGCAAGAACTTGCTGGCATCAATTGATGGAATTATGGTGGAAGCAGGTCACTTTTCCTCCCAAGTCCTGCGAAATGAAAAAATAGAAATATAATAATTATAGATTTAATGCAAGGACTCCAGTCCTGCAAGAAAATTGAGTATAGCTAAGAACTTAAACAAAGCATAAATTTTAAGGAAGTTAAATATAACTTATTTTTATTTGAAAACATAAAGTTCATTTGTTTGACAAGCTATGGATTTAAAAGTTTAATCAGACATGCTAATTATTATTAAGCCTGTCAAGGAATTAAACTCCCATAGTTTTAGCATTTTGAGCGATTCTTGAATTCCTTGTATATGTAGTATCCCTCAATTTTGTGAAACATGAAGCAGACTTCCATTCAAGCATAACTACGACAATCTACCAATCACGGGACAAATTTTTTTGGTCACAACAAGTGCTATAAATCTCCATAGCATCTAACTGTGATAATTGTGCATGTATGCAATAAAGGATTATTTTGAAGCCCTTGCGGCTCATATTCAAGATGAGAGATCAAGTTGCAGTTTCACTTTCATTAAGTTACATTAATTTACCTAAAACATGAAGACCGCACTTATAACTTTCACCCAGCATTAAATTAATTAGAAGAAATGCTTCCCTCACGGTACCAAATTATGAAAATTACTCCCATTCTAATAAGATTAAGCTCACAAATTTGCTCCTTCTACAAGAATCACGATCAGTTTAATCCAAATGTAAACTATCTTAACCATGAGTCCAAGAACTTTGGCAATATTTTAAAAGAAACATCAGATGCCCAGACAATGACTTCAACTTAATTCTGGAAAGTCCAGGTAATTACTCAGAAATTTGCAACTTCCAAGCAAACCCATGTCATTTCCAGCCACCAGAGAACTAATCCAACCCCATATAGCAAACCCAAATCTTAAAACTGAAGCATCTATTCAAAACCATATCCTTTCCCAGGTTCTCTATCAACAGAATCACAAAAATTTCCTAACAAGAATGCTGATAAAAAATAAAATGGGTCTTCCTATTCCAACCCAAATAAAAACAACTTGATGAAAAGACGTGGAATTTCAGCTTAAATTTTAGAGAACTGGAATTGACGCATACATACCTCGGAGGATTTGAGGGGCCAAGAAGTGGGGTTGAGGTGACACTACCAAAAGGCAGAGAGATTCAGGAGGTGGCGAGCTGGGAAACGGAAGAGGAATTATATTATTATATAAGAATGAGGAGTTGGTTAGTTGGGTTGAGTTGACAGGGGTCGCCTCTGTTTAGGACAACAAGAAAAACAGCATCAAGAGGAGGAGATGCGCATTCCACGAAAAGGAACAGCGCATCAAGGAGGGAGAGATGCGCATGGTGCACGAATCTTCTTTCCTTGACACTCGGCATATTCCCTAAGCCAGTAACCAAAAGCCACGTATTCTCTTATGTATTGTACCTTGGGTTTTTCTGGTATTTGCTCTTAGCTGCAAGTTAAAGTACATATTTATTTTACTTTTTTTTAGTATTAATTTATATAAAAGATTAGACCTGCCAAACAGGTTGGGTTAGTGGGTAGAGATTGGATTATTTTGGATCTTTAATTGTTTGGATTGAATTATTTTAGGTGTTGGGTTAAGGGATTGATCCGTGGCTTATCTACATGGATTCTGGATTTAGTTGGGTGGACTCAAATTTTAAAAAATTAAAATTAAGATTTTTTATATATTTTTTATTTTTTTAAATAAAATTTAATATTAATTAACTATTTATTTAAGAAACTTTATTACTAATTAACTATTTAGTTAGAAAACGTATTAAACTTTAATTTCTATTTCATAA